TAATACTTTGTATAGCCACCTTTTGCTCTAACCACTGCCTCAATCCTCCTAGGCATACTCTCAATCATATTCTGGCAAATACTTGGATCTATCCTATCCCACTCCTCCTGGAAGCGATCCCACAGCTCCTGAACACTACTTGGAGGTTCTTCATATTCCCCAAGCTTCCTCTTCACATGATTCCAGAGATGCTCGATTGGATTGAGGTCTGGAGACTGTGAGGGCCACTTCATGACCTCAATACAGCGGTTATTGAACCAGTTTTGGGCCTTTTTGCTGGTGTGTTTGGGGTCATTGTCCTGTTGGAAGAGGACATGGGCTGGGTTTTTGTGATAATATGATATGGTTTCCTGTAGTTCCTCATCCAGAATTTGGCAGTACAGGTCCCCATCCATCTTCCCATCAATCTTGCATGCCATTCCAACCCCATCCCAGGTCATACAACCCCATACCATGATGGAACCTCCACCAAACTTTTTTGTGCCTTGCACCAACCTGTCAGTGAGAGGCTCCCCCACCCGCTTCCACACCCATTTCCTCCCATCTGAGCCCAGACGATTCACCTTAGTCTCATCAGACCATACAACTCTCTTCCAGTCCTCTAGAGTCCACTCCTTGTGGCTGAGGGCAAAATCCATCCTGTCCCTCTTGTGACGCCTGGTGAGCATAGGCCTTTTTTTCTTCACCACTGCTTTCCAACCAGCTTTTTTGAGCCCTTTACGTACAGTCTCAATGGAGAGGGATGTGTCATTGATGTTTCAGAGTATTTGGGTGACTTGGGATGAGTTGTCAGCCTTCCCAGAGTTGATGAGACGACAAGCATGGCGAATATCAGTGTCAGAAAGCTTGGATGGACGACCACCACTGGGCTTGGGAACATCAGAACGGTGTTTAGACCATAGGCGAGTGACAGTGGAGTAATGGTGGCCAGTAAGAACTGAGATTTGGCGAGCACTATGGCCAGAATCAATGAGGGAAAGGATTTGTTCAACTTTTGAAGTGGCTAAAGGGTGCATTTCGGATTTGGGGCCTTATCATGTGAAGTCCTTTGGTATTTATGCTTTATTAATGTCCTTTTGTTTACTAGTGTGTACAGTAAACAATATCACATGACATGTCACATGATATTCCTATTTTCTGTTCAGCCTGGGGGTACTCCAATAAACCATTGCAATGACCTGGGTAGTTTGTAAATTACATAACATTACCAAAAATGGCAATATTGCTTACATAATTGGCAGATCTTTAGATGAGATACTTTCCCATGTTCTGAATATTTTTTTGAAATTTTCAAATACATTTTCATTGTGCTATAAGGTCATGAGTTGAAAAGTGAAAAACATTGCAACGGTTTATTGGAGAACTGTATATGATCCCCTGAGTAGCAAGTAGGAAGGGCCAGCTTTCTTCTCTCATTTCCCCTCACTGCTCAGCTGGAGCTTTTTCACCTAGCATAGCTCACAGTTCTCCTATTGAGACCAAACCGGACCCTCCTAGTCTTCCATCTACATCTACCAGATCCTTTGACCTTAGCTCTGATGTAGGAATGTAAAAATTACAACACTAAAACAACCAGAAACCATCACAGAAAATTAAACAGAAATCATGCAACCTCATGGATGTCAGGAGACGGAACCCAGGTCCCCATGACCCCTCTCTATGACCCACAGGCTAACCTGTAACAGCAGCCCATCCCAGGGCATAACACTACTGTGGGTAAGAAAGTGGTATAAACAAAGGGGCAAGTAGATACACTTGCCTACTGTGGGTAAGAAAGTGAGAAGAAGGTTAACTTCTCACTTTCCCACAGTGGCCCCAATATGGCGAAAACTTCCGGGGATACACGGAAGTCACATGAAGGGTGGGAACCGGGCCCAGAGCATGCAGCGCGCGGAGCGTGCAGGGCGGAGGCGCACATGCAGGTCCAGGTCCGGGTCTGGACGTGGGTCTGGGTCCGGGCTAGTCAGGGTGTGTGCCCTGACAATGGACCAGAAATAAAAAATCATAACTCAGCAAAATAAAATATCAGAAAAATACTGAAGAACAGAGTCAATGAGCTGAGTATCTATGCAAACTTTCAAGTCTAGAGATCAAAAGATGGTCCAGAAAATGAAGAAAAACAGCAAATAAACCCACATAAAAACAAAAACAAGGTTTCCTGTATCAAATAAAATCTGAGAAATTTGTGGTAACATGGGAAAATAGTTGTATGAATGTACAAAATGAATGACAAAAAGAAAATCAAGGATTCCACATTATGAAAAATGGTCAAGTACAAGGAAAAGATGAAAGAATTGGGAATATTTATACAAGGAAAATAGGGAAAAATATGAATCTTTGTTGGTCTTAAAGAGTTGAAATATAGGTCTGTGAATGGGAAAATTCCATGTTAGAATCTGAAGGATTGAGGGAGAAACAGATTTAACAAGATTAAAACAAGCTTGCAGAGAAGACTGGCTCAAACATCCTGGGTTTGTGGTAGAAATGGGTGAGCTAGAAATGCGAAACTAAAGAGTTCGAGTCCAGGAACAAGGCATAATTTATCCAGAATTAATTGTGAGAAAACAGATGAGTTAATGCCAAAGCAATCTGGAGAACCTCAAAATTAAATCTTGAGAAATTCATATCTTCATAAATAATCCTCTTATTTACTGTTGTTTATACCAACAGAAAGCTACACCCTTAAGCTAACAAATAACCCCATGACATGTGACTTAGAATAAAGTGAGTAAACAAGGGTAAATAAGGTCATGATGGGTGTTAGACAGTGTAATCAGTTGATTCCCACACCAAAACCTCCAGAAAGTTCTAGAAGCAGAATGGGATGCTGATTGCTTATATAAGAGGATTACTAAGCCCAATACAAGATTACTCAGCAATGTAAATAGTAAAGTGACATGTGAAAACAGAGCCCTTAGGAAAGGTATAAAAGACTGCATTTCTGGTCTGACCCCTCTTCCTTCTTTACTCCTCTCCCCTACATGCTCTGGCTCATAGGTCATAAGGTGTCCTAATGAAAATTAAGTTTTATTAGTATAAGCATGCAGTTCAGATCACATCTGAGTAAAAGTGATCACCCTCAGTAGAAAGTTAAGAAGAAGTTAAGAAATAGTGACATTGAGTCAAGTCAGTTGGAGTGGCTCTGAGTTAAAAGTGACAAGACAGAGGCAAAACAACTAAAAATAGTAGGTCCAAAGCACAATTTTCATGTGGAACAATCAGGTAGACAAGTGAATTGAACCCTGAGAGTTACATACACACACAAACAGTTAGTAACACATACAAATAGTGATACACAAAGAAACCAAAATGCTACAGTGGTTGAGTTAAAGTACTGATACTAACATATAAGTATCAGAAGAAAGACTTTCTGTTCTCCTTCACCAAGCAGCTCAGTATCCTGACAGTCTGACTAGTATCATGACTTGTTTTTCTGGCATGCATCTAATAAAAGGGGCTCCATCTACTGTTGCCCAAATCAATTCCTAGCATAGTATACAACATGACACCAAGGATCTTGAATGGTTGCCCCAGAAAGAACAAACTCATCATACCTATTTCTCTGATAAACTGAAGGAAGACATCAATCCACTCAAATGAAATGGCTGAGTTCTTCAATAATGATGTTCCAAATTCATCAAGTGTCTGGAGCCTATTTTAAAGACCCTCACTCAATCAAGGCCAGCATATTATCTGGTAGCCAAAGCCAAAAGAAATCAGACAGCCACCATGGGGACAACTTGTCATCTGCATCTTGCCAAACCCTCAGCTTGCCTCCTATATTACCACTTCATTCACAAAGCAAGCCAAAGACAAACCAGAGCTCTTCCAGAGTAAGTGGTGATATAGGAGGTAAGCTGAGGGTTTGGCTCACAAGATGCCTCAGCTTGTCTCCTATATCACCACTTCATTCACAAAGCAAACCAAAGACAAACCAACCAGGATCTGCATCTTGTGCCTCAGCTTGCCAATTTGTCTTTGGTTTGGTTTGTGAGTTTGTGAATGAAGTGGCGATATAGGATGCCAATTTGTCTTTGGTTTGGTTTGTGAGTTTGTGAATGAAGTGGCGATATAGGAGGCAAGCTGAGGCACAAGATGCAGATCCTGGTTGGTTTGTCTTTGGTTTGCTTTGTGAATGAAGTGGTGATATAGGAGACAAGCTGAGGCATCTTGTGAGCCAAACCCTCAGCTTACCTCCTATATCACCACTTACTCTGGAAGAGCTCTGGTTTGTCTTTGGCTTGCTTTGTGAATGAAGTGGTAATATAGGAGGCAAGCTGAGGGTTTGGCAAGATGCAGATGACAAGTTGTCCCCATGGTGGCTGTCTGATTTCTTTTGGCTTTGGCTACCAGATAATATGCTGGCCTTGATTGAGTGAGGGTCTTTAAAATAGGCTCCAGACACTTGATGAATTTGGAACATCATTATTGAAGAACTCAGCCATTTCATTGGTGACCAACACTGCCCATGTGTTTAACACTAGACAGCTCAGAACCAGAGAACTGGGCAACAGTCAAGGCAACAACTGAGAACATGAGAACACATACACTACACTACACAAAAATATGATACTAACAGTGGATTTTTTTCACAAAGAATCACAGAATCACACATGGTATTACAGCCCACACCATACAGAATAACTGGCCTGCTGGCCTGTGAAGCAATCCTTGCACATCTGATGGCTCAACACTCAATGAAACCAGAGAAGGTGAAACAAACAATCACATTTCATTCCTGGCCTGACACCTTACCCACTCAAGCACTTTAGAATGTCATGCTCTTCTGTGATTTGCTGATCACATAACTGGCTGCAGCTCCTTCAAGTAGCATGGTGTAAACTTGACATATATTTTATTAGAAGGGTTTGGCACAACAAGAGTAGCATAGTACAGGTGTCATCCAAGTCATTGAATTGTTCATGGAGGAGGAACCAAATTTTTGCTGATTGCAAAGGCATTAATTTCAGTCACACATGGGAAGTGGAAGGTCATGTCAGTCAACTTGCAGGGCCACAACTCAGGGAATTTGTAAGCACCTTGAGAAAGTCTTTGACATCAGATTTGATCTTTGATAAAATGAGAGCAGCAGCCTTAAATGCCAGGAAAAGGTCCCAGTGAAACTCTTCACCAGTTGGGTCCCCATAGGAAGTAATGGTGTCAAGGGTACAACATGCATTCTCCCTACCCAGATGACCCCAAAAAATTGGATGATGGGTCCTGCATATCTCAAGAAGGAACAACTCATGAGGGATACAAGTAAACTCACCAACACATATTATTCCCAAGGCAGGCACCCTCCACCTCCAGACATTGGTTGAATTTGGAACATTGTAATTCTTCAGTCTTGAAAAACCCAGTCATTTAGTCTGCTAAAAAATTAATGCAATCCTTCAGTACATCTTCAAGGATATGTTCCTCTCCAGGAACTTTCACTCCACAGTGAATGTTGCAAAAGTAACCAAAGGGCTCATATAGAAGAGAGATAGGGCATGATGAGTCCATCCTTTCCAGGGCAGTCATCCCAGATCCTTTGTTTGGGCTTGATTTGAATGTCAAGTTGTCCATTTTGGCAACAGAAGATGGAGAGTCTTTTCCTATACTCATGCAAGCAAGATGATCCAGAATACTAATCAAACAAGGCTTGGACAGGGATGGGTCCCTGGGAGTAATAGCTTCAGGATGTAGCCAATTGAACAATCAAGACACACTCACCAAAAATGACTATGAGTGTTTGCCCATCCCACATATGCAATTTCTCTGCTAGATGATAACTATGGCAGTTTTTGTTGCCAAGGAAGCTTTTGTCCAATTTCAGACTCTCTAATTCATGTGGTTCTTTGCTGTATGCCAGATGAACTGAGCTACAGGGATCTGGATGTTCCATCTATAAAAGGAAATTTCCATTTATGGAATTCCCCTATATAGAAGGTTTCCCTATATAGAAATTTCCATGTATGGTAATTTTCCCAATACCTAGGATTCACCTTTGAAGGGGCTTCAAGGGAAATTACCCTCATCACCTACCTTAGCATCCTTGTTGCGCATCACTTCTTCCTCACTGTTTCCCACATTCTTCACACTTTTACATAATCAATTGTGCCTCTCAATAGCTTCTGAAATATAAAATTTGAGACTGATGTCTGAAAAGTTGCAGGTTGCATCACATGATGACCATTGTTGCAATGCATTGCAACACATTTCAATAAAATACAACACTGAAGTGTTACATTGCATCACTGCAACCTGTTGTTGTAATATGGCATCCCAAATATGGCGAACTGCTTCAGCCATTCACTTGCAGTCCAGAATTAATATAAATATAAAGAGATATAACTAACAATTATGGGTCAATTTGTCCATAGTATATATATAAGATATATAAAGAAATGAATTAAAAGATTCTAAGTGCAGGGAAAGGGGGGGAGGTGATTCAGGAGAGTTTGAAGGTCGTAGAACAGGTGGTGGCACATGTGGTGTAATGAGTAGTTCCAGAGTCAGGTTTTTGGTTGATTATTGATTGAATAAAACTAATTATGGGCATTGTTGAGATTCTTGGATTTCTTGGAGATTGTCATGGACTGTTCCCAGAAGCTGTCAAAACCATGATGATCTGGGTGCAGATGGGGCTCAACTAGAGAGGTTCCAAGAGCTCTGGTAGTGGACCAAATTCTCCAGGAAGCCCAAGTCTGTTGGGTGTTACAAGAGGCTCTAAGAAGGACGTGGCCTCAGAGGAGTGCTGTGCCTCTGTTACATCTTAGTTAGTCCTTAATTTCAGATGTCAAAGGTATCTTGTAAGAGGGGGACACGAGTCACTCATAGGGGAACTTGGGGGTAAGTTTCAGTTGAGATTAGAACTGAGGTATGATGAGTCCTAATCTACAGGTATATATACAAGATGGAGGAGAAGGACTTAGTCAAGGTCTGAGTGATACCGAAAAATACCGAAAGGTTCTGAATGATACTGAAAGGTATCTTTAATGGGGAACTGAGGTGTCAGGTCAAGAAGAAGGCCAGAGGATAAATGGAACAAGAAATGGGTAAGGGGAAGTTAGCCAACTGAATTGAAAGAAGACATCAGTTGTACTATAAGTGGGAGATGACTAATTTAAGATGATGAGAGCGGGGTCACCAGGGGATGCAGGTAGCTCTGAAGCTGGAGTTACATATCTGAGGAATGTTGGGCAACTCCACTAAATGAAATGAGGAGGGGAAGGGTTTAGAGGTATATAACAAGATGTTGGGAATCCATTGGGAGGTCCGAGCAAATCTGGAGGTTCCAAATGAGATAGTTGGGATGGAAGGTGACATTGGGAAGTGGGGAGGTATGGTATAGGGGATGATGAGGTTGTTAGGAAGGTGTAGTGGGGTGGGAGTGTATGGGGTTGGGATTCCAGGATATGACAGGAACGGTTGGAGTTGCATGGAAATGGATCAGAAATTTTGGCTTAATTGCTAAGCCATTAACTATGTATAGAAGAAAAGGAGGACAGGAGGATTTACAATGGACAGATGAAGCACAAGAAGCAATGGATGCCTTGAAAGAAGCAGTATGGGAGTCTGGGGCAATCAAACCATTAAATCTGGAATTAGCTAAAAAGATGCTACCAAAGGATCAACAGCCCTCGGACCTTGGACTAGTAAGGCTAGCGGTTGATAGTGCATAGACAGGAGTCAGATGGGTATTATATCAAGTAATGGAAGATGACATAGAGTACCCAATTGAGTTTGGATCATGGATGTTTAGTGAAGTGGAAGCAAGATATTCACAACCAAAATTGGAGTTATATGGAGTGTTCAGGGCAGTAAAAGCTTGTCAGCGCTGTAGGAGAAATAATATTCAAAGAATAAAACAATGATCTATCAGAATAGTCAACAATCAGGTGACAAGTTCAGATGTTTAACAGATCTCATGATCTTTATGAGACTGGACAGACATTAGAAGATCATTATAAATTATCCACACCCATGTAGCATGAGATTTAATCTACTACAAGCATGCCTAGAACCTGGCATAGGTGTAATATTCAAAGAATATATCCCTACAACAAGAAAATAGCACATAGATGGCAGAATAAGAAGGAACATTGGGAAAGAAATGTGAATATATCAGGAACCAGTAATCTTTTGACTGTAATCTTTTTACCATCTGAAAGGACTGTTTCTTAACTTTATCCACGGTTCTGTTTCATTCTAAAAGCTTCAAAACTGACGGAGATATTGCTCAAACGGCGAAACACCTTATAATTCATATATATTTATTTGCTAATTCTTACAAAAGGTAATGTGACTCAAGGGAAATATATTGGCGCCCGGAAGTCTGGCGGACCGAATACCATATGACAGAGTATTTTCTGGCGCGGGCGGACAGTTTTTGATCGCATCAGAAGAGGAGAAAATGCTAAAAAACTGGATCTTGTATATTTTCCCATGATTCATCAAAACATTTTGATTTTAAGCTCAAATAAATCGGAACAAAGGAATGATTGATAATCTGGATTTTGGATCATAAGCATAAAGTGATTTAGAAGTCCGCGGATTAGTTAATCAATTGGGAAAGCTCTAGAACATTAGTAATGATGCAGCTTCACAAAAAGGGGTGAATTAGAGAACAGTCTAGAAAGTTCCTTTATAGCCGAGTCATTTCTAAAGATAACCGTTCGTAATTAAGGCGGTGTAGAGCATAGCTTTAGCGCTACAGACCCCGCTAAGATCGGCCAAAAAGACAAAGAACTGGATTACTTATTGCTGAGTCATGCCCTAAGTCCATTATTAAGCTTACACAGCCCAAGCCCCTATATCATTCTAGAACTATCTATAATACAAATGTAGCACATGTAACTAGTGCAAGGTGTGGGAGTAGAGAGGCCTCTGAAAAGCATAAAAGGCCGCCGCTTCTGCCCCCTCTCAAACCTCAGGTAGAAATATAAGTTTAATTCTCCTCACCAGTGGTTGGTTCATTTGCTCCAAAAGATAAAAGCAAATATTAGTTGTTAGCTAATATAAACCTAACACATCACTCTAAGCGTGAGTTAGGGTCAGTTAGACGCAGCTGAACAAAAGTGTCATAGTGAGAATTAGTGAGAATTTGGTGGAGGGACTTCTTAATTGAATAATCTCTCAGTAATATTTGGTTATCACACCACAGGAGAAAAGTGAGTGATCCTGAACCTGCTAGCTAACTAGCACGCACTCTAAGCGATAGAAAGAGCAGTTTGGTCACTCCTGTATTAAGTAACATTTATTACGGAATTATTTTATTAGTAGTTTTTCTTCAGTAAATTATCAGGAAAATCACATCCTGCTGAAAAGTGGTATATCTAGGTGTAATATGACTAGAAATTATAGTAAAGTCAATATAGAATTTTATCCATAGACGATCTATACATCAGGTGAGATCATTGGGGGGTGTTTATTGTTGTTTAGACAGTGAACAATTATATATTTGGCAACCAAAACACGGTCAGTATGCAAATCAGCACAAACTCTAATATTGTTATTGGACATAGGAAACTGGTTACATAAGGTGATCCAGCTCCGCTCCTTCAGCGCTACCTTTGGGGCTATCATTTTAGGATCAAAGTAGATGCTAGATCACTTATACAAATGGTCAATAATTGTCAGGGCACAGCCCTCGACCCCACACACCCTCAGACACCCCTTCCCCCCTCCTAACCCCCCTTCCCCCATTTTCCCCCATTTTTCCTCCACTGTTCCACAATGGTACAGGTACGCGAACCCATGGGAACATTCTGGGCAAGCAACTTGCCCAGAAACCAGCACAGCCACAACTGTGGGAACGTTCTGGGTGATGCCCAGAATCTTCCCATGGTACCTAATATGGAAACTCAGGAAAGACCTGACAACTGCACAGTTCTCAGGCTCCTTTTGTAGTGGCCTCACAGGGGGTTGAGAAGGTTACCCTTCTTCTCAACTCATTCCCTGTGAAGCCCAGGGCAAGTCCCCTCAGCGACTTTGAGGAGTTAGTGGCTGCAGAAGACTCTCCAGTGCCACTCCTGGACCCCATCACTACGTCCCCTCTGGGTGAGGGATGGACCCTGACAATAATCCTGACTTGCTCAATGCACCGATGACATGATGGGTTACATATTTACTGTTAGAATGGGTGGATTCGGACGACTCCGGAGTGGAATCGGAGACTTAGCATGGAAGGACCTTGGCCTCAGCAACTCAGGCAGAGCGCTGTGCCATTGCTGGTTGTCCTAGGGGTCCCTAATTTCGGATCTAGCAGAGGGAAAGTCTCTTGGGGGAATTCATGTCGATTTCGGACTGAGGTTACAAGTTACTAGGTACATTGTATATAAGGAGGGGTCCGGAATCAAAAGGAACAAGGGTAGGACAAAAGGAGACAAAGGGAGATGGAAAGAGGAACAACACCGAGGGTCAAGTGTTTGACTCAATGGTGTTTCCCAAAGGAGGAATGAAGGGCCAAGGCCCAAGGAGGAAGGAAGGAGGTTGGGAGTGGGGAATGGCTAGCTGACTGAATAGAAAGGAAGCAGCAGCCCAAATAGGAATGAGGGAGAATAGCGGAATTGAAATGGACAATGCAATAGTTGCAAGGTCCGGAGTAAGTCCGGAAAGTCCGAACTCAGAGGTTAAACTCCGGAATATTGGCAAACGTAATTAAATGGAATGAGCTAACCAATACAATGGGTATAAGTGGAGGTGGGGTCAAAGTCCGAGGTCGGAGCTAAGACCGGAGGTTCTGGAGACGAGACGTGAACAGGATACCGGAGCGGAGGTCCGGAGTCGGGAGCATAGGTTTTGCGTACTTGTCTGGAAGGTGTCGAGGTTGGGGTCGGACCCGGAATGTTCCGGAGTCGGACCGAAGGTGGTGTCCGAGCCGGAGGTGGGATAACCTCTTGGGAGTCGGCAAGGAGGAGGTGACGGAAGGGAAGTAGGACTCAGGAAGTCGGAGTTCGGAGTTCCGGGAGCCCGGAGTGGAGGTCAGGATTGTATGGATATGACATTTACAACACTTCAGCTTCAAAATGGAACATGTTCCTGCCATGAGACACAGAGCTCCAGATGGATTATCCTGAAGAGAACCAGCTGAGGATGATTCAGAAGAATCAGAACTGGAAATGGACTATGAAGATCCATTCAAATTCATTAGAAGTGTACAGGAAGGAATATATGAGTATATTAAATCAGACAATTCATTGGTGGAGTTAGAAAGCTCTGACAAAGGAATAAACTCCAAGGATGAAGTAGAACCAGAAACTAGGACTTCTTGGGTAATTGAGAAATTGAGTAGAATGGGCAATGGGATCGAAGAGTGCACCCCAATGGAGGTGAGGTTGTTGGAGGAACCATGTGCTATGAGGGTACTCCAATGGAGCTAACCTGAACAGCCACATTGTTGCGTTAGCATGGGAACATTCTGGGAGAGCAACTCGCCCAGAATCCACCATGTGACTACTTAGTCACAATACCTCTTTTATATTATTTCGGACTAACCTGTGCCAGTCCACGGATATATTCATTCATTTGAATTCATTCCTTTTCCCTCAGTTCTTCACACATATTAGCTGAGACTGAGGTTAGTTACTACATTCCCTTATTGTTTTATCTTGTAACTCATACTATGTATATTACCTTTAGTCCTACTCATAGTCCAGCTCCAAGATCAAATTGTCACTCATCAACAGAGGTGGAGTACCCAAAGGCAGTGGAATGTCAGGGCAACCACACCTGACCATACAACCCCAGAACCACCTTCCCTGACCTCCCCCCACTTCCCTCATCCTCCAATCTTTACACACCTTTCACAACTACAGCCCGCACATGAACCTGTGGGAAAAATCACGTGGGTCAAGGCAAGCAACTCACCTTAACCCATGTGACACCTTTTCCACATCATGGGAACATGCTCAGCTCCTACCCTTAGTCACGTTACAAACTGTACAGTACATTTCCCTTTTATAGTAGCCAAGCGGGGAATAGGGAAACTTACCCTTCTTCTCAACTCAATCCCCACTTAGGCAAGTTGTAGCTACCTTCCATAATACATGACAACTCAATCCCTGCTTAGTGAGTTTGAGGAGCTTGGGGTAGGATCCAGCACCTGGCTGCCTGGGACACTGCAAGTGTCCAGTTCTGAGGTAGGGCCACCCCCAGACAGAGGCCAGGCCCTGACATGGAACAAGAATTCAAAAGGAATTTAACTTGGGTAGGAATTTTGGAAACCTGAGGAAATACCTCAGGTACAAAGAACTAGATGCTCCTTGAGGCCAGCTGTACTTTCCAGCACCTGTTAGTCTCAGGTGGTTTCACATACGAGAAAGATGGGAGGATCCCAATACAGAAGATTCTGCATCCAAAATGTCCAAATAAGGAATTAAATAGATCATAACATCAGGTGACTTTTATGATATTTGTTTCACTTGTTGCATAGTTCCCCAGAGCTGCACACTGGTGGCTGAGAACAAGGATGAGTGAACCCCCAAACATAACAACATCATGGGAGCAGACATTTTAAGTAATGTCTCATATCAAATAACTTCTAAAAAGGGTAATTGTCTCTACAGACTTTCCTTCTGACTCTCTTTACATTCTATTTCATTGGTATCCTTGCAATCTTGATTGGCCCACAACGAGATTGGGGAAAATGGGTGTGGAACCATACCATTGGTTACCCAATCAATTTCATAATCAGGTTATGGCAAGAAGGACAAAGGACATGAATGGAGGAGAGATGCTGTGTACCAGGATAGGCAATGGCACCCAACATTATATATTCATGGTTTCACTACAAGCGAGATTAGCCATGAGTACAAATCACCAACAGATGAAATCGAAGTGAGCAAAGGACATCAAGTAAGACAAAAGGCTCTGTATCACAATTTGTTAATCATAACAATTAATGAAAACAGGTCTCTGGACATTGTCTGTCAGACATGGTCTGAGAAGCATCTGTGGAACCATGTTTTTCTTACATTTGTAGTACTAATGGCTAAAGCCAAGAAAATGTTCCTTTATTTCTTTTCAATTAGCTCCATCACAGTGTTGACAAATCTGTTTTCTGCTGTACATCTATCATCTTTCCGAATCATGACCACTACATCTGTCACCATTAACCTTGCCATAGTCCTAGGGATTGTCCTAGCTGTTGTGTTCAGCACTGCAGTTTTTGCTTATGTTTGGATTCATAACTAGCTATCACAGCAACAGACCAGATGGCCCCAGCAACTTTTGGAAAGTGGAGATGATTTCGATGACAACATGTACATTCCTTGGGGACACAGCAAGTGATGACTGTCATGTCAATCAAAACTGTATGGATCTGTAAGGGGTTGGTGTAGGTGCCAACCCTGGTCAGCCTAGTTCCTCAGGCTGTCAACAAAACTAACTTATATGAAGTTATCATTGCAACAGTAGTGGGAGGAAAAGGCTGAGTTGCTTTTTCCACTTTCCCACACTATTGTATCTACTTTGTATATACATGTTTATTACAAGGCAATTATACAATATGTAAGTGGGAAATAAGGGAGGTACATGTCTGTGTCATATCCATACAATCCCGACCTCCGCTCCGGGCTCCTGGAACTCCGAACTCTGACTTCCGGAGCCCTAGTTCCCTTCCGCCACTTTCTCCTTGCTGACTCCCAAGAGGTTATCCCACCTCCGGCTCGGACACCACCTTCGGTCTGACTCCGGAACATTCTGGGTCCGACCCCAACCTTGACACCTTCCAGACGAGTATGCAAAACCTATGCTCCCGACTCCGGACCTCCGCTCCGGTATCCCATTCGCATCTCCATCTCCGGAACCTCCGGTCTTAGCTCTGACCTCGGACTTTGACCCCACCTCCACTTATACCCATTGTATTGGTTAGCTCATTCCATTTAATTGCCTTTGCCAATATTCCGGAGTTTAACTTCCGAGTTCGGACTTTCCGGACTTATGTCGGACCTTGCAACTATTGCATTGTCCTATTCAATTCCGCTATTCTCCCTCATTCCTATTTGGGCTGCTGCTTCCTTTCTATTCAGTCAGCTAACCATTCCCCACTCCCAACCTCCTTCCTTCCTCCTTGGGCCTTGGCCCTCCACTCCTCCTTTGGGAAACACCATTGAGTCAAACCCTTGACCCTCAGTGTTGTTCCTCTTTCCATCTCCCTTTGTCTCCTTTTGTCCTACCCTTGTTCCTTTTGATTCCGGACCCCTCCTTATATACAATGTACCTAGTAACTTGTAACCTCAGTCCGAAATCGACATGAATTCCCCCAAGAGACTTTCCCTCTGCTAGATCTGAAATTAGGGACCCCTAGGACAACCAGCAATGGCACAGCGCTCTGCCTGAGTCGCTGAGGCCGAGGTCCTTCCATGCTAAGTCTCCGATTCCATTCCGGAGTCATCTGAATCTGCCCATTCTAACAGTCTGAGTAAAAATGGAGTATGTTGAACTCTACTTTTTCATTTTTATTTTTATTTTTACATTCAATAATCCAACAGGGGTTGCACTAATGATGATCCGGACTATGATCATCTATGAGCGCAAACCAACCTTCTTCCCTTCACTGTCTCACAAAGACATGGCTTGGGGAAGTAACATTTGAGAAGGGGGGAGGTTTGGCTCCATGAAGTGCATCGTTTGTCCAGATCAGCATGGCAACACCCTTCCATCACTCTTTTCTTCTCTTCTGAATTTCTTTACAAAAGGTCAAATCATGACCTAATGTATATACACAACTCCACTCTTTGTTTGATCTACTCTCACTCTCTTTCTTAAAATTTATATTCACCCTAATTCAAAACTTCTTTGTTTACATTGAGGTTACAGTACTGATATATTGGGTTATACATTGCCTAAGGAATGGAATAAAGGGAGAAAAGGGGCAAATGAATAACATACCTTAATGGAGCAGCTCATTCAAGGAATATGTGTCTAAGGCACTATGTCCATCCTAAATCTGGCGATACCTGGAAAAAGCTCAAGATCAACCTGAAAAACCCACAATGCATGAATGGCAAAAAAGCCAATGCACATCATGGACTCGTCAGGCAGATCATTTCGCAAATTCCAGTCTCCAAAGAAATGAGAATGCCATGAGGCACTTGTGATCCATACTTAATCATGAGCAATTGAAGTCAAGACCTTGGAAATCTGTTGATGAATTGTCAAGGCAGTACAAATGCCCATTGAATTCATCAAGCAGATCGCTGAGGTGGTTAAATACCATCAGTCGATCGCAGTGCATCGCAACAAAGTTGCGATGGAAATGAAGACAGTGACCCAGCAGGGCCAGAAACGCAGTGATGAGTCCCTTGCAGGCCCCCTTGTGGCCCCTGCTCCCCTTGTAGCACACCCTTTTCCAGAGCCACCTGAGACTCCACTCCATGAGAGAGATGTGGAGGAGCAGGAAAGGCTCAACTTACCCTCATCTTCTGTGCCAGATGATTCTGCCAGCAAAAATCACCAGAGGGGGACACAGAAAAGGAGGGAAGGTCTAGTTCACCCTCACCCTCCATGCCAAGTGACACTGCTGGCAAGAGGGCAACATCCTCTACATTAAGATCTCATAGAAGGAACCCACCTAGGAAGAGGGCAAGGAGGAGTGGTGGAGATGTGACTGCAGGGAAGAGGGAAAAAAGACCAAGACAGGGGGCTCCCTTGTCTACACCAGTAAGAATGCTATGAGAAAATGGAATCTGATACTCATTTTGTTTTTAAGAGGATGGACTCAAGAAGGCAGCCAAGTGCACAAGAAGCCTCCCAAACTACCCCCTCAGCAACCCCTCAGGGCACCACAGGACTTGCAAAGAAAAAGGGGCTGGCTGCCATTGTAAGCCCTAAGAACCTTCCCTTGTAGTGACAACTCTCAATGTTTATCCAGTTGAAACTCCCACCAAAAAGGTTCTTCAAATTGACAGCTTTTGCTAGTTTGGTAAGACACCATTATTATGTATGTGATATGTATGCTTGTCAAATAGCCCATCCTGGGCTGCAAGACTGCCATCACTGTGGCCAGAGGAGAGGATTATGCTAAGGACCTCAATTACTTCATTCAGAGATCTTCCATACCCAATCTCCAGACCTTTGAGACAGAAGAGCTCCAGAGACTCAAATCCTCAGCACCAGAGAAATTCTGTGAGGCTCTGAGAGCTCCATTCATTGTCAAGAAGGTGGAGAGGGGAGACTGCTTCAGCTGCCTATGGTGTTGGAGTTGCAGAGCTTGATGTGTCCACACCTGTGGAGGCACATGGTGAGTAGATCTAGAGTGGAAACCCCTGTAGACTTACTTCATGCACTTAGATATGGATGATCCTCATGAGCAGACCACATTTTCATAACCACCATGTCCAATGCATTGTCCCAGATTGAGGATCTGATGGAAGGACAGATCATAAATGTGTTTTCTTTGCCTAGTGTCAGGAGCTGTCAGGGATCGACAATGACCCTGGACCCCTATGCTGGCTGACTCATATACACATGGGAAGTATGCTGGCAATTCCTGTCTACTCCACTTACCTAAGCCCTGGTGGCCCAGATCATCTCTGGCATTGTTCTGGAACATTCTATGATTATGTGATTCTTTGGTTTCCTTCTTGCCAGACTCTACATGTATATAGCTGACTCTAAGATGGGGACATTCCTTTCCCCTGGCTTTAATCACAACTAGGTTATCAGAGCAACCTGCACAAGGACGCACATCCCCTGACAGGAGCCCACCTCCAGGGAGTGTGAGCCAGTATGTCAAAATGCTAGGATGAGTGCACACCTGAGCTGACTGTCAGGGCACACACCCTGACTAGCCCGGACCCAGACCCGTGTCTGGACCTGCTTCCACCCGCTGCGCTTCCCACATGCGTGCACGCTCCACGCGCTGCATGCTCCAGGCCCGGATCCTACTCCTTCATGTGACTTCCGGGTATCCCCGGAAGTTTTCCTGATATGGTGGCCACTGTGGGAAGATGAGAAGTTAGCTTCCTTCTCATCTTCTTACCCACAGTAGGCAAGTTGTATCTTACTTGCCTTCCTATCTATTCATCTTCTTACCCACAGTAGGTTGTGCCCTGGATAGGGCTGGTTACACCTCAGGGCTGTGGACCATAGGGGAGGGTCATGGGGACCCGGGAGTCATCCCCTGACACTGACATCTCTAACTTTAGGCTGCTTGCTGATGAATATTTGGCTGTGAACTCCACATCGTCCAGCAAATATGCAAGGTCATTCTCAACTGGTCCCCTCTAGGGCTTGGTCTATCTTATCATCATGTGGGACCAGCCACCCCCCCATATAGACGGTATGGGCTATGGTACTGTCGGTGGGTGCTGGTGCCAAGTGGGTCATTGTTAGCAAGAACAATGATCAGCTCTTCAAGGCTGAGGATGGAGATGAGGATTTGTTCACCGTGGCATATCAGGTGACCCATCATCACAGCTGGTGGTGTTACAGCCTGGGTTTTCTCTGTGAGTCCTTTTGTTTGGTACATGTTCACTGGCTGATGGAATCTACTGCATATTTATAGGGTCTTGCCACCTGGTACTCCCATTCAGTGTTATCTGTGACTGAAACATCAGGTGAAAATTCATCAGAGACTAGGGTGGGAACTGTTACAGAGTTGCCTGGTTTCCAGCCCACACCTCATACAAATCCTGGTGTCTTGATGGTTGGCCACCATTTTTACAATTTTGGTACCATGGACCTGACACTTAGAGCTTTCTTGCTTCAAAGCATCAGGCCAAAGTGGTCCAATCAGCAAGAAAGAGACAGTGTCTTGCTCCATGGCTGCATGTTGCTGCTAATGTATCAGCAGGCAACATTTCAAAAACCACCAGCCCTCCCTCCCACCATCCCACCAATGACAGCATTAGCACTGCTATACCTTGTCTTGAGGCACAAGATGTTCCCAGTCTTTGCACCAGCAGATTGTTGGAATTTGTACACATGGTCTTGGGAACCTTAATGCTAAAATATGGACATTCTGGGAGTCGAACCACAGAACCCTGCATAGGTACTGTTAGATACTGATCCGGAGTCGGCACCGAAGGTCACCGATGCGGGCCGCTATTGGCCGCGATGGCTGTGATGCCGTAGACAAGGCCCGAGGGTAGGGCATTTGGCCTCAGCAACTCTAAAGGGAGTGCTGTGCCCCCTAGCTGTCTCTTGGCCCTCATTTCGGACTTACTGGGGCTGCCTTGTTGGGGTCAGGACTTAGGGGTCGTGGTCAAATCGATATTAGAGCTAAGGTACTATAATGTAGTATACAGGATATATATATGAAGGTGAAATGAATAGAAGCGGACCCGGGCCGGAGGCCGAAGGGTCCGGAAGCAAATAGGAACAAAGAGCGGGGTTGGCCGCACCGCGGCCGGCAATGACCGAGGGTCAAAACAAACAATAACAGATAAATAAACGAAGGGGTGTAGGGCCGCGATAGCGGCGATGGTATCATAGCGGAGTAGGCGATGTCGCGGAGTCACGCTAGGTCGGTACCAGAGGCGGACTCGGGGCAGGGAGGTCGGTGTGGCTGTGGGGGAGTCGGCCAGGTGCAGGGGAGCCTAGGGGCAAGCGGGGAAGTGAGCAGGGGGTCCTCAGGGAGGATAGGGCTGAGGTCGGGGCTCGCGCTCACGCTCGCATAGCGGTAACGGGCTCGGGCGGCATCGGGACGGGCGGCTAACGGGCCGGAATGCATGGCCGTGACAGGTACCAAGAGTGTGTTACTGTCAGAGTCGGAAGTACTGTCAGAGACTGGGGATATTGTTAGAGTCTGGCAGACTGTCAGAAGACGGATGGAAGATGGATTGGGTTCTGTCTGAGTTGAGGTCGGAGGTGATGCAGCGTGCAGATATGCAGGCGGAAATATGCGGCGCATCCGGAAGTGCTGTTCAAGGTTAGCAGAGTGGGATCGTGGCCTCAGCGACTCAGGTGGAGCACTGTGCCCTGAGCTTGACGTTTGGGGGAGATCCCGTATTTACGGATTGACATTCACAGCGGACTTCAAACAAGACTTGCAGGCGGAGCGGACCTGTAGGAGGAGCGCGGACTCCGCGAGCACGGACTCAGAGGGGGGGAAGCCCCTTTGCAGAAGAAGAGACTCAGAACAGACAGGGGGGTACTCTAGTTGATTTCAGACTGAGGTCCCCAAAAGTATTTACAAGGTATATAAATAGGCAAGAGGAATATAGAAAGGCCGGTCAGTCCGGCGCAGTCCGGCGTGGAGATAAGCAGGGATTGTCAAACTAAATAAGGACAAGAGCCCGGGAACTGGAAATGAGGAACAGATCAATAAACAATAAGTGGCAAGGGTTATTGATGAATAACTGAATGAGATCAATAACCTAGTGCCAATAAAGAGGGGATCAAATGCTGATATTGGCAGGGAAGCAAACAATAAATGGCACTTGGCAAGGAATGAATGATAAGCTGCCAAGTGACAAATGGCCAGAGGAAAAGTGGAGGTCAGCGCGCGGCGCCGATACAAGTCCACAAACAGAGGTTGATCTGCCAGTACTGTCACACAAGGACAGCATGAAGGCCAACAGAGGTACAGAGGGGAGTGGGAGTGTTGACCTGACCAGAGGTGTCAAGGGCAACCAGAAGTGGCCAGAAGGTGCAGAGATGGGCAGAGGGTGCGGAGTGGGCAGAGGGTGCGGAATGCTCGGAAGCGGGGCATGGCTGTGACCACATAGCGGGAAGTGATGAATGTGGTTTGGATGGAGACAAGGCAGGCATGACTGAATGCTGGGAGCGCCAAGGGCTCAGGAACTGGAGGTAAGGTCGGAATACCGGCAGGGTCTAGGTTCTGATTATTGGCCAAGTCTCACACAGTAAGGCAGGGGGCCAGACATGGGGTTGGGGGCTGGTTAGGATGGGTTTCGGGTCGGTGGATTCGCCTATCGGCATTGGTTCGCCGCTGACGGAGCCCTGGGATTCGTCGGTCATGACAGTTACCATTACACTAAATGCCTGCATTAGGTGGAGGTGGTTTCTAACACAGATAAAGGCACATTCCAGCATTTTTGTAATGCAGGGAATGACTTCATGAAGGAGCTAGATTGGGACTCACAGTACACTAATTTCAGCCATAACATTGATGACATGCTTCAGCACAACATGATACTTCCTGTGGAGTCCTGGCATGCATAGCTCACTGTGGGATTGGGTGCACATATGGGTTATTTGTTACATATATCCTGTTCCATCTGTTGTACTCTGTTATTAGGATGTAGACCTTAGGGCATACTATGCTCAGTCCAATGAAGGATGAACTAAAATCCATAATAGCTCAAAAGGCATCAGTAACAATAAAAGAGTATTAATCAATATGTAAAAATGATGGCCCCATGTCTCTCCCCTGTTCTATCAGGGAGTAGTTGGAGTTCCACCCCTTCTCTGGCTTGCAGCATGACTACATCCCAAATTAGGCAGTTTTCACTGCCACCACTCATAGGGGCTTTGTTGGCTGCCACTTCCTTTAAAGGGATCTACTATAGTCATAGTACGTCTACTAGGATTTGAATTGATTTTAAAATTCCCATGTCATAGTAGGATTTGAGTGCTTTTTTTCTCACAGCTAGCAAGTGAGGATGTCCACTTGCTTTTATTCCCACAGACACTGTATTCCCTGCTCTTGCTGCATGCAGTACATGGCACCACACATAACCACTATGTCAGGGTATGGCCCTTGACCCCACATGCACATAGACCCATGGGAACTTTCTGGGCGAGCAGCTTGCCCAGAACCTTCCCACAGGGGACTGTCTGTTATGGGAAGTCCACAAAGAGCCAAGAACTGTACAGTTCCCAGCCTTTCCTGATGCCTAGGATGAGTATTTTGAGGAGCCCCCAAATGGTCCTTGTTGGAAAACACCACCCAAGCATTGTAACATGTTGAGAGCCCCTCAATGGCACCTGCTGTTCCAACACTCTCAACATTTGCTCAATTTTGGTGACTCACATTGTAGAATAGTAATAACTGCTACACTATCATGCACTCTGAGGAAGTGAAATATGAATGTACAGTTGCTACAGCTGTGGTTGACAGTGAAAGGAAAGCACATCCATGCATTTGTGAACAGGGTGTCAGGGCACAGCCCTCTACCCCACACACCCTCAGGTACCCCTTCTAGCCACCCTTCTCCCATTTCCCCCTCACTGTTCCAACTCCTACAATTATACTGCCATCCTGGGATGGTGTGGAAACATTGACTTCCATCCCATGACAAGCTTCAGT